TACCATAAAATTGTTTAGTAAGGTGTATCTTTAAAGGTAGTATACTATGATTTAGTACACCACCCTCTCTTTCTTGTGTTTTAAGGTCAGACAATGTATGTGGTTGTAATTAGGACACGCGACACCTATTGTAAAACATGGGGCTTTGTTATTACTGTCAAACTGGGATGTTGATATAGCTTTATTTGTCAGACTCTTTTTTGCATTTTAATGTGGTAATGCTAAGTTATGTTATTGACAAAGCACAATATATCACAGCTGAATAGTTAGCATTGTAAATTTTATGCATCATATTTTGCTATTCACCTACCCCACACACCACACATCTGGAAAAGATAACCTGTGACACTTTGTAAGGTTGTCTGTGTGGACTCTAAGGTTTTCAGTGACAGAAAATGAACATTAGTCCTGGTAAATGCCAATTTATTAGTAAAAATGAACAAAAAAGTGTACTATATTAGCTTGTCTGTTTGATCTTTATCCCCGTTAACATTAGGCACTGCATGGTAGTCTCAAAATGCTCAACCATTTACACTACCGTACTTGTAATTTTTATCAGTTCCAAGAACAGATATTTTTTAAACGTGACTGTAGCTTGCTGTAAAATATAAGTTCTACTAAAATTTTGCAGCCTGCATAGAAAGGTGTGCATCTTTAAGACAAACAAGAACATTTGTTTAACAGATATTACTATACTGTGATTATAAATTGTTAGAAATACATCATAGAAATCATCAAAAAAACAGTTGCATTGTTACTACCTGTAGTTTTAAGATAGAAATAAATTGAAGGATATGGTGGGGGGTGTGATATATTATAAATATTGGCAAAAATTATAATTATTAATTTCTTTTACTGCAAAATAAAATATGCTGTTGCATATGTCATGATGTGCTTAATAATCATAATTTCAGAGGTATTAATAATAATAATAACTTTATTAGAAACCCAGTTTTACAAAACAATCTTCCCTAGGATCTTTCTACATACAACTACAATAACATATTTACAAAATGATAACATAAAAAAATGGACAATAGAAATATACTAGAAAATGAACATATGAAAATTAAGGGTCACATTAAGGTGATTTAAATATATGTTAAAATGAAATGAAATAAAGTTAATCTTCACAACATTAAAAATGAAAAGATATTTGTAAAATAATTCTAGTCTCTCTTATTATTGTAGTTCCCTTTTCTGTCCTGTTTTAAAACATTCTACACTTTTAGGTTGTAGAAACAAAAAATGGATTATTGTAAGGTATATTGTGATGAATGATGATGGTTTGAAGAGTAACAGAAGCAATCCACTAGCACAGGATGTCAGTTATGTATATGTATACAACTATTGTGACAGGAGACAATATTATGGAATAAGCATAATTCTTTAATCAATTTATTTTTATTAAAGAAGTATGCCTATTTAATAATATTGTCTGGTGTTTGTGATATGTATTTCTTACTTCTTAAGTCTTACATAGTGATGTTATTAATCAGGAAATTCAAACAAAATGGCTATGAAGTCATTAAAGTTAATGTTATTATATTTGAATCTAACTTACCTCTGTACAAACTTCATCAGATAAAAGCCATGTTCTGAGATAGAGCACGACGTCTGCTGGGATTGAGTCTAACAAGAGTTGTCTATCACTGGAACTTTCAACAGCTCTTTTTAAATCATATAATAAATAACACACTTTAGCACGTCCTAGAGGTCTGGCTTTACGGAACGCTATTGTATCTGAGGTGACGTCATTTCGAAAATCAAATTCATTGCCTGAAAAGAGAAATGTCAAAGTAAGAAGCATAGCCATTAAATATGCCCCAGGATTTGAAATTTTTATGGGGAAATTCACCTCTGTCAGTTGTAATGAATAATGATGAATAATTCCCAGATATGTACTGTTACAGGGATATCAATGAAATAATTGTTTTTACAAACACTACTCTGGCGCTTTTTCCAAAAACTTACCAAGTGTGCACAAGTGTACCAAATTTCATAAAACAATCTGTGGTCTACACTACATTGATATATATTTTGCCAAAGTCAAGGGCAATAGATTAATGCCAAGCTAAGTTGTCTAATCTGGTCACCAGGTAGCTAAGTTTCAATAATTTCAGGAAGATAAAATTGAGCAGAAACTGAATGATTCTTTGGTCAATCACATTTTAATAAAATATTCACATAAAAGACAAAATAACAAAACAGAAAGACACATCATCAGAGCAATGATTGATAAATTGGGTCAAAGAATTGCATTAAAAATCGCCCTATCATTAACATAATATTTCACTGAAAATTTCGTAGAAGACACAAAATACAAACCAAATACAGTAACATTTGACACCTCTAATATATGCATATTAAATCATTAAATTTAACCCAAAACGAAACTCCTAATTAATCCAAAATGTTCGAAAATGTCAAATTTAACAGATGCATAGTTGTAATACACGAAACTATTTATTATTAACTTAAAATATAGACAATATAATAATATATACTGATATAGACTGATATTAATGGTAGGTGTGTATTACCAGATTGCCTTATTTTCAGTCCTCATATGTCTAGAATAGATGTATCTAATTAAAATTAAATTACATTTTCATTTCGTTATTTTTCCTTTTGGTCTCCATTGTAATCTAACAAGATTTACACCAAAGTCGCGTACTTAAGACAATCTATTTATATCATTATTACTTTTACAAGCAGTATAAGCAGTCTCATAACTCTACTTTGGGTTTCGCTATCCCACAATTCATAGTCAATACTTACATAGCGGTTCTGCATGACATGCTGTAATTGATTGAAATGAATGTCAACAGTATGCGACCTTGTATAAATCTTTTTTATTTAAATTGACAATAGATAAATAGATTTCTTACATCTTGAAGTTCAATATTCTGTTTATTTAGAATTTAATTTGTGATCAATGAGGTTCATCCTAACATGATATTTAGTATAGAAATATTAAAACAGAACCTAAAAAAACATGTTGTTGTTACTCAGAGTTTCACGCTGTGCGATCTTCAGACAACTGACCTAATTTTCAGCCTGTGTCTTTACTGAAGTTAGACAAGTAGAACTTACTCTCATGTCTACACTTCGAGACAAGTTCGGAAAGTTTGATTAAAGAAGTGTCCTTAGGGGCATCAATAATGGAAAGCTTTTCAATTAAACACAGGTTTCATCACTTAGTTTCATTTGTGTAGGCTTTAGCTCTGTTATCAATGGATCAGGAAATTTTGTAATTGTTATTTTTCAGTTTAAGTTGCCAAATGTGCTTTGAGAGTTCAGTGCTATTTTCATATTTTGAATGTTTAAACCACTGCATATGGTTGTAATATCATTGTTTAAAAGTGTTTTCAGTCAGTCCCAGATATGTTTTACATTCATTTGTGTCAGCGATTGTGACTTCTGCCTTGTATATTATACATGTATTTTCTATGGTTAAGAAAAAAGTCACACAAAATCAAGGATTTTATTATCAGGGCTCAAAAACATCTCATTTAGATCTGAATTATTTGACAAAAAAAATCATTCTCAGTGTCAACATATCAATGTCTTGAGGGGCTGGAGATGAAACTGTTCGACAAAAGGTACAAAACAAATTGCCACAAAATTTTGTTTAACTCATTTTGGAACTGCAACAAAAAAAGATGTGTTAATTTAAAGGTGTGAAAACCACCATTTAATTTAATAATGGCCTCTCTTGTTGCAAATCAGGCATGAGGCAGTTTTAACCAACCATGAAATATTGACTATTCAATAGATATATTTCTAATTTTACGCTTCAGTTAACTCATAATTTACATAATATCATATTGCTAATCAAATACAAAATGAAATGGAGTTTCATGCTCCACTTTTCTGTATCTAATTGAAGTACTCAAGTCACATTTTTCTTTCTGGCTGAAATCTTACGTACCCAAATTAAATTTAGTAACTGGATATATTTAAAGCACAAATTTTCATCTTAGTTAGCAATTGTAGTGTAATTCAATAGCTATATTTTCCATTAATTTCTTCAAAGCTTTATTTCAGCAATGTTGCTTAAATACACATTTACACATCATCTCTTAACTTGCTATTACTTATTTCTATCATGTTTTACTTCAGCAGGTAAACCTCATATCAGGGACTGATATTATTATATGTACAAGGGTTGGTAATCAAGAAATTGACAGATAGGGGGGCAAAAATGAGCTGTCTCTCTGAGGTGAGGTCGAAGAGTCGAATTCCCTTGAGGCCCGGGGTATTTCAGATGGCCTGAGAATTTTGTGCATAAAGAAGGCTTAATTTTTATTTCAGAATTGACCTTTTACAGCAGCCCAGTCATAGTGTGGGGTCCATGGGGGCCGAGTCCCAGCAAAATCTTCTTCAGTTCAGCAGAGATTGATTCAATTACAGTTTCTTTGTATAAAATAAAAAAGATATAGACTTTGTACGTTTTTGGCACCTCAAAATTGTGAGAAATGAGTTCTCTAGGCCTTCAATTCTTCAAATTTTTACAGTACATAATCTGAGCCCCGGCACCAATTTATCCTGACAAGGCTTGAGAGGGGTGTGGGGGGCATGGGCCATTAGTCCATTCCCTAAATACTCCACTGTACCAAACTTATAATTATCCTCTTGGGGGGATCTTCAAACCAACCCAGGCTCAAAATAAATCCAGAAAATCAAGACCATTTAGACCACAGAAGGAATTTCCCCTGTATTTTTCTATAGGTGATTATGTGAAAAAATAAAATAAAAATCTAAATCACGTCTTAAAATTCATATGAGAATACATTCTGGAGAAAAACCTTATCAATGTGAGGTTTGTGAAAAGTGTTTTACAGAGGCATCCAGTCAAATGGCCCACATGAAACTTCATTCTTCAGAGAAACCGAATATTGTGAATAAATCTCACAATTGTGATGTTTGTAAAAGGTGTTTTTCCAAAGCGTATAACCTCAATGTTCACGTGAGGTACATACTGAAAACAAACCATACAAATGACTTGTGATGTTTGTGGAAAGCGTTCTAGTTGTTTATCAAATCATAAAATCCATATGATGAAACATACTGGAGAAAAACCCTTTAAATGTGAAGTCTGTGGAAAAGGTTTTGCAATAACATCAAGTCTTAAAATTCACATGAGAATACATACAGAAGAGAAACCTCATCAATGTGATGTTTGTAAAAAGTGTTTTACTCAGACAGGGCAACTTAATACACATATGACAGTACATACTGGAGAAAAACCTCATGAATGTGCAGTTTGTAAAAAGTGTTTTATCATAACCAATAAACTCAAGGTTCATGTGAGGATTCATACTGGAGAGAAATGTCTATTTATAATAACTATGACTTCAAGTGATACTACGTCTTAGATTTAAGAATTTTAAACTTGGCGAATAAGAGCCAGTAGATATACCTGGTGTCATAAATAACATAACAGGAACTTTATATAATCCGATAAATCCAAAAAACTTATCCATAAATATGCAATTAACTAGTATTGAAAAACGCTTAATATCAATATTAAGCGTTTTTCAGTTATTACTTAGCTTTATGAATTTTCCAATTTTCCAGAATTTACAGGGATTCTGTTGTAACTTTATGACACCAGGTAAGCTAACTGATGAATATATACTCATATTGACCATTTCGAGAACTTAAATTTTATGTTCATTCTAAGACATAGTATCACTTTAAGATTTATATTCCGCATCAGCAATGGTGGTCTCTCACATGCTATCAGTCACAACTATTCCCTCATCTTGAATGTATCATGTATGGGACAGATCAAGGATCAAATTCAATCAATTGAAGGTGATTTTTCAAAGGGGATCTAGTGCTAAATGTTCTTAAATTATGATCCGTTTACTAAGCCTATACATTTCCTATGGAGACTTGTAAATATTGAACTTACCAGAAATGATGCCATCCATCTGTTGCAAGGCTGCTGCTAAAACCTGGCTTGCTCCATTAAATTGCTCCGTTATTTCATAATTCGCTTGTTGCTCCCACATTTTATTGCCTTCAATAAACTTTGGTTTCATTCAAATAAAAAACTTAAAAATTAAAATTCGATACTTTCATCAAAATTATTAAAATTTTCCAACTGTATCACATACTTTAAGATTAACTTAGATTAGCATCAAATTCATCCCTTGCACAATATTGTATAATTCACATTCATCTATATTCTGTGTAATCCGGCTTTCGACAATAGATTTCCAATCAACACTGAAGAAAATGAATACAAATCCACTGTATATAGCACTATATGATATTATTTACAATTATTCAGTAGATTCACATCCTTTCTTCCTTTCTGAAAGAGAAAATAAAGTTAGTTACAATCATTTTTTACAAAGATCAAAGCTTAGTTTTGTAAGATCCTTTCTAAATGTAAGTGTTTTGTCAATGATATTTAATTATTAGAAACTGTTTACTGTTGGATCATCTGAAAGAATGAAAAAAAAGTTATTCAACAGGCATTCATTTGACAATCTAGAAGAGAACCTGTTACCAAAATACAGTTTCAACATATGACTGCTTTAAGTAAAATTTCAAATTAAAACAAAAAATTAAAAAATAATGGAAACTTCAACAGATCTACCATGAGGAACATATACAGTGAAATATTACCAGTATTATATTGTTTCATAAATCTTCCACAAGTTACTAAATAAGCAATCTAACCATATAATCCTAAGCATAGTGGTCTTGTCTAAAAGCAAAAAGGGCCTTGAATGAGTCAAGCATATCAAAAATTACTATTCACTTAATCAAAAGCTATCAACTTCACTTTCGGCCAAGTAAATAAATGAAAATAGAGAAAAAACACGGTGAAAAAGAAATACAAATAGTCCTCAACATTCAACTGTCCATCTGTATTCTTGTCATTATTGACTCAAGGTCACACAATAAAGGTCACCTGAATTGTTTGGATTGAATTTGTCACGATTTGACCAATCTGGATTAAAAGGTAAAGATCAAGTTAGTGGAGGAGTACAGAATAACATCCTACTCTTATATCAACTGAAAGGCCGAAAACTCCAGGAGGCTTTCTCAAGGTCATCCTCCACTTATTGGCACTAGTATCCCCTTTGAGTTTTACATAAAGTTTTTATAGAAACATAAGTGATGAGGTTGAAAGCCAACACAGACTTGTAGAAGCAGTTGCTGCAGTATCATAATTTATCTAACTCAGATAAGTATTTGAACCCATGGTTGCCTTGCAAATGTCTAAAATAGCAACAATTTTTGAAAACCTACGACTCAAAATACCCAAGGTTTAACTAATATCACTCAAACCCTACCCTTAAAAATAATGTCTCACAAGTCTGATGTTTTACTCAAATTCAAATCAAGGTATTTCAGAGTTCAAATCAATATAACCTACAAATACGGTCAAATCAACTCTTTTCTTACACTTTGGTCTTAGAACTTTCACAAGGCCAATAGGGACAACAGAAAGAAAACTAGTCTTTTAACAATAAGTATAAGTTAATGAAAATAGTCAGATATGTGGACAAACAGATTAAGGTTGTCGAAGAACAGGGTTTAATTCACAGGTAATATATATGGAAAGTATGAATATATATATTAAAGGGGCACTGCCTTCTGAACAATTGATACACATATAAACCCTAGAAAAAACCTCTATAATTTAATCCCTTTAAATCCAAAAGAATTAATTTGTGGTTAATGCAATTCAACAACCAATATTCCAAAATTTACATGAAAAAAAATAATAAAAAAAAGGATTTACTTTTGACTAATTATGATGACAAATTTGACATCCATGTACAAGTATATATTAGTCTCAGAGACAGGAATTTTCCGATAGTGTTCACAGCTCAGTCAAAATTTGAACCTTCAAATTCATGTGTGTCTAGGAATTATCCAAGTTTGAAAGGGATGATGACTCGTCTATTCTTAAGACTCTGCCATAAAGTGAAAATCCTAGTTTATGGTATATTTGAAGGAATTATGTGATTTTTGTACATTTTTAATACTTCCAAAGACTGTTTTCATACATCAGAGAATCAGCCCTATCCCTTTAAAGGGAAAAGTTTTAATTTGTGATTATTTTTGTCAAGTGACATGAAGTGATATAAATGAGGTTAGGTATTTCTTTCTAATTATCAATAATTATAATTAATTACCAAGAGAACTAATTTAGGACAAATATAAATACCAGTGACAAGATGTTTATGATCAGTAATTAGGTAATTTATTATATATTTCACACCTAAATAATTTCAGATAGTTTATTATAGCATCCATTTGCACCTATATTACCCATAAATGTAATACCCACCATAAATGTAACAAAAATCAACCATAAATGTAGCACCCATCCTATCACTGTGGCTCCAGTAATTCATTTGAATCCTAACTAGATTAACACGTCACTATTACAAAGACCATTTGAGCCATAAGGAGTTTTTGAGATAGTGAGATCATATTTGATCATGTATTTTTAGAATTAGTTGTCAAATTGGATATTAGAAAGGTTCAAATGGAAGCTTTAAATGTACTAGATACTCATACAAAGACAGAAGCAGTTTTTCTACCAAATCTCAATTTCTACCTTTATTTTGGAATATTTGGTGTTAAATTAAACAAAGTATAAAAACCTACATCAGTCATCCCTTGCTATAAATTGACCTTGTAAGTCAAAGAGAAAACAAGTATGTATACATGCAGGCAAGTCAATAATAGATTTCTAAAAAACATCCTGACTACACCTTCTCTTCAAACTTTTTATTTATTTTGGTTCAGATTCAATAACCACATTTACTTCTTTTTTTTAAATTTTTATACGGGTGGGAAGAAGGGATACACAGGTCTGGCTCGTTGAAAGCAAAGCAGAACAACAAATAAGCACCTTTGTGTTTGCCTTTTTTTTTCTAACCATAGGAAAGTGCTAACACATTCCCCCACACTAAAAAAATTACGTATTCGAGTAATCCACATAAGGGCCAATAACAGGGGTCAGCCTCTGCTAGGTGCAATGCAGATGTTTCGTCTTGAGAGAACCACCTAGCTGATCAGGGTATCTCCTGTGCCAGAAAAGTCATTAAGTTACTTAAAGATCATTTTGTACCAATTAAGCAGCATTCATAGCTTTTTACACACTCTAGATATTATCTATGACCAATTAAAATTGGCCAAATCATGCGAAATCAATCTATTTTTATTCTATAACAGTCTATATAAAGTTTTAACAACAATGTGCTACATTGATTTATATTGATATGAATATCAAGACACAAGGTGGGTCATATTCAATGAGAGATAAGAACCACCTCATACCATTCTGTTGGATGTTAATTTCAACAATATAAACACAATTCTGGAATATCAAAGGAAACCAATGAATGCCAAAATTTGTGTGAACAAATGATGTGAGAAAAATGTTCAATAGGTGAAAATAAATAATGGAAGAAATTATAGGGGATTGGAAATTGTCATCAAATCATATCTCAGTTGCAGATCGGAGAATTCATCAAAGTGATCACAGGGATCAAATTTTACAACTGTCAAAAACGTACGCAAAGAAAGCAACAATAAACCCAAGAATTAAGAAAATCAGACTCAATTACTTACTTTACCTGCACGTCTAATTATCTGTCAGTAAAGAACAAAGAGATTAAAAGATGTTATCAACTTACCAAGTCAAGGTAAGAAAATCTCCACCCTGTGAACTGTCAGTCTTGTGTGAATGTTGACACTGGCAATGTTCAATTACTTCAGGGCAGACGACAGAGAGTCGAATTACGCGCATTTTGTCCTTACGCCGCCTTGCGGACAGGTAATATGGTGTATGTGTTTTGCCGTCATATCCGTATTAGATGAAATTAGAAGGAACACTTTATTGATTTATATTATAATGTGTTTCAAAATTAGCATTCTTTCAAATCTCCATGGGTTGATTGTTTCTAATCATAGCTATAAAATATAGATTTATCAGTATCTCAGATTGATATCCAAGGGTTTGTCGGCAAAGTGGCAAATCACACTCATCTCTCAGGTAATAATCAGACAGGTGAACTGAAATTTGAAATGAACAAAAAACACAGTGAATTTCTTTGTTAGAATGATTATATTTTTAAAATCCATTTGCCTTTGTTGTATTAGATATTATAAACTAATCAATAATTTTGAATCTTATGAAAATTGAGTTCTTGGGCACCCTGTTATTAAGCTGATTTGTCCCACAAATATATCACATATATCGATGATTTAAGTAAATGAACTGTCAAATTAGGCCAAAACTGATTACTATTTTATATCTATAAAAGATTTAACTGCTTCT